GAATAGGGGAATCCCCCCAGCACCCTGGGGGTGTGAGGGATGGGGGGGGTCCATGGAATAGGGGCCCCCCCCAGCACCCTGGGAGTGCGGGAGATGGGGGGGGACATCGAATAGGGGAATCCCCCCAGCACCCTGGGGGTGTGAGGGATGGGGGGGGCAATGGAATAGGGGGACCTCCTCAGCCCTGTGGGGGATAGGGGGAGGCCCATGGAATAGGGGGGATCCCCTCAGCACCCTGGGGGTGTGGGTGGTGGTGGGGGTCCATGGAATAGGGGGACCCCCCCAGCACCCTGGGGGTGCGAGGGATGGGGGGGGCCCATGGAATAGGGGGACCCCCTCAGCACTGTAGGGGATAGGGGGAGGCCCATGGAATAGGGGAGGATTCCCCCAGCACCATGGGGGTGCATGGTTTGGGGGGGTCCATGGAATAGAGAGACCCCCCTCCAGCACCCCAGGGATGTATGGATTGGGAAGGGGGTGGAGGGGGTCATGGAACAGCACCCCTTCCTCACCCCGGGGTTTGTGTGGGTTGGGTGGGAGGGATCATGAAACGGGGACCTGTCCAGCACCCTGGGGGTCTGTGGGGAGTAGGGAAACCCCAGCCCAGCACCCTAGGGGTGTATGGATTGGGGGGGTCATGAAACAGGACCCCTTCCTTACCCTGAAGGTGCATGAGTTGGAGTCGTCATGAAACAGGGGACTCCCCCCAGCACCCTGGGGGTGCATGGGTCGGGTTGTGCAACCTCGGGGGTGTCTCTGGAGTTGGGGGCCCTGTACATGGCGGGCACCCATGGGCAACCCCGGGTAAATGCCCGGGGGGTGCCCGAACGGGGGGCACCTCCTGAGGCTGAGATACCCCTGCAGTGCTGCGGGGGACCATGGAGGGGCAGGGGCACCCTCCGCCTTGCAGCGCCTGCAGCTGTGGCAATCGGGTGAATCGGTGAAATTCCGAGGGCTGGTTGGCCCACGAGTGGGATTCACCTACGGTTTTACCCACAGGAGGTGTTTAATGCAGCGTGGAGGCTGCGCGGCGACGTTCCCGGAGCTAAATGATCCCCCTCGTACTTATCTTTATAATTTCCAGGGGGTGGAATAAAGCAGTGCAGTCGCTTAGCAGATTAATCCGGCCCATGCAGCTGTCGATGCTGAGAGCAGAGCTGTGGATGTTGCCTTCTTGTGAGCCTGGCTGTTAAATCTCCTCAAAAAAAGGAGAAAAACCATTGGTGAAATTGTCAGCGCTGGTCACGATGCCCATTGGGAGCTGCCGGCGGGGCTGTGCCCTTACAGGGGGGCTGCTCTTTAGGGCTGCGGGGCCCGGGGGATAATCTGGGCCGTTGCGTGTTCCTAGCTGAGCACAATGAGGCTGTAATTCCCATGAAAGGCGCAGGATTTGCTCTTCTTTCGTCAGGATTCCTAGAATCCAGCCATCGACCCGCTCTGGCCTATTTTACAGTGGGCAGAAAGCGCATGATGTTATTTAGGGTGATCAAGAGCACCCTAATGGCTGAGAAATCCTAATTTCCCGCCACCGAGCGGGGTCCCGGCAAACTGGGCTCTTCCCGGTGCCTCCTGAGCAGCCCCTGCCATGTAAGCTGTTCACCCTGGACGAGCAGGACAGCAGCCGGAACAGGTACCACCACCTTATTTTATTGCAAGGAATCAGGCACAGGGCAATGCGGCGGTTCCGGGGGTTAGCAGGGTGTTCCGACTGTTTTATCCTGCCTCTTTGGAGCAAGGAAATTGGGAAGTTTTGGCTGGACTTGTTGAATGCTTTTGGAAAGCTGCTGTCTGTGGCGGCTCGTGCACAGGGTAGCCGCAAGGACAGTGAATAAGGAGCATGGAGCAGTGCCCTGGGGACTTGGGATGAAGCCGCTTGCTTAGGGGGTTAGGTGTTGAGCACAGAATTATCCCACTGGAAGCAAATGTCTCCTCGAGAGGAATTCTCTAGGTTGCCATGCGTGTTGCATTGCACTGCCAGCTCCTCATCCAAAAGCCCTTGGCGCCGTGGGGCTGTGCACCGCTTTGGGGGGGATCCGGGGGAATATTGTGTCTGCAGCCACCCCGAGGAATCCAGCAGGAATCCAGCTCCGTATCCCGGCCTCTCCAGGGCCTCCTGGCGCCTGATGCGGTGCCTGCTGAGTGTCTGTGGGCAGCGTGAGGCAGCCGCGCCGCGTTGTTGCCCCCGTCTCCGTGGCCGTCCCGAGGGTGAGACAGCGCGCGGGGCAGGAAAGGGGGAGCGTTGCAGCGGGCACCACTTGTGGACGAGGTTTTGCACGCGCGTTTGCGGGCAGAGCCAGGCTGGCCTAAGTCCCCACGACCCTGCTAGCAACAGGGGCCTGGAGACGGGGCTCTGCGTTGGGCTCCTTTTTCACCCACTGCTGACGTGGGGCCTGTTGCTCCCAGCATCGCAGGCACCTCAGGATCCACCAGAGTCTGCTTTCCCATTCTGGAATCCCGGGAAGCTGTCGCGACGGGCTCCTGGTTTCCCTAATGCCGGAGGAACATGCGTGTCCGTCCCGCATGGCACGAGCAGGATGTTTCCTTGCTCTTACCGTGCCGGCCCTTGGTTATGGCTCTGGTGTCACCACGTTTGAGTGTGCGGCGTCACTGGGACCCTGCGCGGCCGCACGCAGCTCCCCAGCCCGCCCTGCCTTTGCTCCCTGGCTTCCCTGGCGGCCTCCTCACGCCGGGTGCCACCGCGTTTCGCTCGAGGCTTTGGGGCCGCCGAGGCCGCCACGCGCTTCCCACATCCTTTGCAAAAACACCGGCTGGTGACGGCAGCGCCGGGGCCGCCGAGCGGCTCGGGCAGCGCTGCACAGACACCGTGTCACCGCAGACAAGCGACTTTGGAGCTGCTGACTGCGATTTTCCGCTCCGTTTTTGGTAAAACGGACCGAGCGTGTGATTAGCAATGGGGGCATCGGTGGCAGCGAGGGCTGGAGCGCAGCCCAAATTGCGCCCCGGAGGCTGTGCGCTCGTGTTCGGCCCGCGACCGCACGGGAGGGGACCCGTCAGGGGACCCGTCAGGGGTTAACGCGGCGCAAGATGGTTGCAGCGCCCAGGGTGGGGTGTGCGGAAACAGGAAACGTCGGACGGTGCCGGTGCGGCGGTTCCCGGTGCTCGCTTAGCCAAGGCGGTTGTTTCCGCTTCCGAAGGGACATGTCCCGAGCGAGGATCCCGCGCGCCCTCCTGCCCGGCCGAGGGGCGCAGAGAGACGGAGCAGCCCCGGCTCGGCCCCGAGCGAGGCGAGAGCTCCCTGTCCATGGCCGTTTGGGCTGAGCAGCCCCCTCGGGCTCCTGGGTGGAGGAGTCGATCGGGATTTCAGCCGTGTGAGGCTGTTGCGGTTGTTGGTGCTGTGGTTCAGGGTGTTCCCGTGCACATGCAGCCCTGGACAGGCCTCCCGGCAAGGCCTCCTTCATGGAGGATGCAGCAGGGAGAGGAGCGTGGTCAGGATGCCCTGAAAGAGCCGCCTCAGTCATGAGGAGGCTTGTCGGAGACCCTGCACTCTGCAGACCTTGGATTTTCCGCGTGGAATAGAGCAGTGCCTGCTGAAGTGCGTTGGTGCAGCGACAGCCAGCGCGGCAGTGCTCTCCGTCCCCCCGAGACGTGGGGGGTTATTCAGGCATGGAGGCAGCTCCTTCCCCAGAGGGGAACCGTGGCCGCCACAGCCGATTAAATAAAATCCCTTAATTGGGAGTATCCGTGCACGTTTCCATTTCCCGGGAAGGAAATTCCACGGCGGCTCCGCAGAATTTGCAGCCCGAGGAAGCGAATACGCAGGAAATGCAATTTGACCTACTTTATTTAAACTTGGCTCCTGGGTGTATTGCAGTTTGCGTGGGGCGGTGGCCTTGATCTGACATTTAGAAAAATCTCCCCTAATCCAGTTTTTCTGGCGCCTTTTCTCGCTTTTGAGCAGGACGCGGTGAATAAAACACAGTCGCAGGGAAGGGTTCAAAGGGATTGCATTTTGCAGGAATTGGTCTTATTGCAGGAATTGGTCTTATTGCAAGAACTGGTCTTATTGCAGGAATCAACCTGCAGCCCCTTGGTATGGCAGGTGGTCTCCCAAGTTTTTTCCTTGCATGTTTGCAAGGAAGTGAAGCCGTTGCCTTGCAGAAGGACTGAAAAGAAAGCAGAAGTGAAAGCCCTGCAAGAAGAATCGCGGTCTGAGACGTGTTGAGGCTGCAGACGCCGACACCGAGGGCAGGGGCTTGCGGCTGCGCCCGCGGTTGAGCGCTAGAGCCCGGAGCAGCGGGGAGCGCCAGGCACTGCGGGTGCAGCCGGGCTTCTCCCCTGCCCTGCTGTGCTTGGAGGTGCAGCAAAGACTTAGGGCTGAGGAATTGATTGTCCTCTTGAGGGTGACGTGGGGAAAATGAGGTGTGACGGGGGTTACAGGGGCTGGAGGGCGTTTTCCACGCGTTGAGGGAGGTCTCGCTGGGACCTAACCCAGCCTGGCATTTCCATCACTTCTGCTTTTTAGATCCTTTTTTCTATTCTCACCCCCTGAGCGTTGCCCAACTCTCCACACACATCTTCCCTCCCTAGCTGCCAAAACCAGAAGCTTGACGGAATCCCAGAATCCCAGAATGGCTGAGGTTGGAAGGGACCTCTAGGGATCATCTAGTCCAACCGCCTGCTCCAGCAGGGATACCCGGAGCACGTGGCACAGGGTGGCATCCAGGCGGGAATGATGAAACAGCTTGGCTTAAAACATACCCGTATTGGCCCTTTTTCGGTGGCATTTTACCAGGACTGGGCCCTTCCCTAGGGAAGCAGCCCTGGATGCTGCAGCCAAGGCTGTGACCCAGGCCAGGCTTGGCCATCCCCTCCTTGTCACCCTGAAGCACTGGCTGAAAAGCAGCCTCCCATCCCCACGTGTGCCCGGCCGTCCCTGTCCGTCGCTTTCCCGCTCTAATTCCTTGTCCATTCTTCACCTCCAGCTGCCGGAGCAGCAACAGGAAGAGCTTGGTGGTGGGGACCCCGTCGCCGACCCTCTCACGTCCTCTCTCCCCTCTCTCCGTGCCTACAGGTAAGGAGGGTGCCATAGGGGTGGGATATGGGCTGTGCATCCGCCAGAATCACCTGGAATTGCGGCTCTTGGGAAGCTTTCTCTGGAGATACATCAGAAGAGGCCTGGGTGGCTTAGTCTGAGGAGCCAAAAGGTTAAAATCCCTCCTCAGAGCACGGCTGAGCTGCGGCACTGTCCCAGCTCTAGCGCTTGTTTTCGCCCCCACGAAACAAGCTCTGGTGCTTTGGGGTCCCTTTTGTTCTCTGGTGCTTTGGGGTCCCTTTGGTTTGTTTTGGGGTCCCAAGTGCCAGAGGCAACCGCATGCTGCAGGGAGAAACAAATTCGGAGGCCTGTCCCGACGCCGCAGCAAGTGCCATTATCCACGGAGGGCACTTCCCTCCCGGCACGCTGATTCCCATCCACAGGAAGCAGCTTTATTTTCCAGGAGGGAATAGAAGGGTGGCTTAGGAAACAATTCACGGCCTGACTGTTTATTGTGAAGGAGGCAACGCGTGGGCGCTCACGCTGCCCTCTTTCCCCCAGCCGGCAGCAGCCCCCTGGACAGCCCGCGCAATTTCTCCACCAGCTCCTCTGTCAACTTCCCCTTCGCTCGCAGGTGAGTCCCGTGGCGCCTCTGGCATTAGCAGTTCGCCCCGACGGAGCCGGTGGAGGAAGAGGCTCCTTAAAGTCCCTTGGAGGGGGAAGGTTGCAATTAGGAGGAATTTGGAATTTCCAGCCTACAGGAATCACTTTCACACGGTGTTTGGGGCTGTGGGACAGGCTTGTGTTTTCTGAGGAGCCAACTGCCTCTTCCCACTGCAGTGGGAAGAAGGGCTTTTCTGCATCCCTTTAGGAAGCAGAACAGGATATGGGAGGGCTGTCCAAAGATCCCAAGAGCTCTCCCTGCTATTTGCTTTAGCTTCATCTTTCCCTTTGCTCCTTGGAGCTTGCGAGTTGCAGTGCTTCTCAGGCCTGTGCTGGTCCCCAAGAGAACACCAAAAAACATCCACGAGCTGGGCCTGCTGTCTTGTTCTCAAGTGATCGCCTCTGTCTTCCTTTTCACTGGTTCCTGTTCTGTTTTTGTTTTCTCTGCCACGATGCCCCTTCCCTCATGACTGGGACCTCCCGCTGTCCTCCAGCCATGCTCCTCGGACTGACAGGCAAGTACCAGCAGGAGCAGGGCCTCCGTGGGCAGCGGGGCAGAGAACACGGAGCTGTTTTCACATGGGACCTGTGCCCCACGTTGCCATATCCCTTCTGCCCTGCTCCCTTGCAGCTCTGGGCAGGGCTCGCTGGCTGCAGTATCACCCTCAGCTTTGCAGCGCTGCTCTATCACTGCAGCTCCCCGGGCAGAAACTGCTCTGTTCCCATCACACTCTTGGTGCCACGAGTTTAGCCCCAAATTCCGACCCGCTCTAGACGTTCCTGAAGTCAAAACAAACACTCAGCAGACATCCAGGAGCCTGCATGGAAGATCTTCCCACTTCCCTTCCCCAGCCGATGCTGTTAACCCCGCTAGTGAGTGTGTGCAGGAGCAGATGCCAAGACACTGTGTTTAATTTCACATGTAGGGGCAGACGAGTGACATCAATCCGTTGATGGTCACGTGGGAAAAAAAAAAAGCTGGAGGGTTATGTTTAATATCCAGGCTGGAAATGGGGCAAAAAGCCAAAACCACCGGGCAAAGAGCGCGTGAGCCCGAGCGGGGCCCGTAGATAGCGAGGCCACGTGAAGGGGCTGGGGCAGGATCTGCTGCTTGGCCCTTGGCCCGCGCACGGCCCTGCTCTGCTTGCTCTGTTCACATGGGAAACAGCCCAGGGAGGTGAAGGACCTCCTCTTGACCTGGTCGTTGCCCTGTCCATTAAAAATGCATCCGAGAGGAAGCGTTCGCCTACGTCTTAAGCGTCGGCCTTCCTGTTTATAACTCCCTCTGCGCTAGCGGGTATGTGCTCTCCGTGAGGGCAGCCCTGGGGATCCCGGTTTCTGTAGATCAGAGTCCCGGAGGCCTAAATTTTGCTCTAATTAAAAATGAGAATTTCTCTTTTTTTTTTTTTTTGTCTTCTGAAATGGATCTGTTCAAGCACAGCTTGTGACAGATGAGGGCACAGCTGTCACGAGGCAGCACTTGCTGGATCCCTGAGGATTTGTCAGCCTGCCGAGCCCAAACAGTGCCCTGGGACAGGGACCTCTGCTCGCCAGAGGAACAGGGTTGCAGAACTGCCTTCCTTTCTGGGGAAAATTAACTGCAGAATCGCCATTTATATCACTGATTTCCATTCTGCTCGGAAAAGAGATTTCAGAGTTGTCCCTGACTTTCTTACTAGAGCCAAACATGAGGTCCCTTTCCCATCCTTATCTCTGACATTCTTTCTTTTGCATTTACCTGTTTTTTCCCGGTGTGTGATCCCTGTGTTTGTGCTTGCAGGGCTGATGGCAGAAGGTGGTCACTGGCTTCGCTACCCTCGTCTGGCTATGGGACTAACACCCCCAGCTCCACTGTCTCGGTAAGCCCTGCTCTTTTTCTGTAGCAGATGAGAACTGCAACACTTGAATTTTAGTTGAGAGCGCGTGAGAAGCCTCCTGGGGTCTGCGATGCTGGTTCCTAGACAGCCCCTCTCTGGGGCTTCTCTGCTGACCACATGTTTTAGCTGCATCATGTTTCTCATAATGTGCTTTTAAGGAAGCTATGGAGTATTGCTAATGGCAGCAGTTCTTTTTTTGCGCATTAAAGCTTTGCTGCGTGTCCCTTTTTGAGCACCTTGTACGCAGGTAGGGCAGACGGGGCAGGAACTGCTGAGGCTGCTGCAGGTAAATGCGGATGAGGGTCGTGCTGAGCTGCAGAGCGGCAGGTCTGGTGCTGTGCAGGCAGCACGGGGTGGGCCAGGGAGCACCTTCATTCATGTCATTTGGGGTTGCTTCCATTTTCACATTACTGACCACAGCAGGTCTGTGCAGAGCAGCTCCGCTTGCTGCCTGTCAATGTTTCCAGCCTACTAAGAGGCTCCGAGGAGTATTTTTCTAGAGGGCTTGTTGGCTTCCACCCTGCTGCCCGGCGGGGACGGAGCTGCCTCCTGACTCGCTACCTCTTGTGCTTCTTTGCAGTCGTCTTCGTCCTCCCAGGAGCGTCTGCACCAGCTGCCGTACCAGCCCACCGCCGATGAGCTGCATTTCCTCTCGAAGCATTTCCGCAGCACGGAGAGCGTCACGGACGAAGAGGGGCGGCACTCGCCCTGCCTGCGCCCACGATCCCGGAGCCTGAGGTACCCAAACCAACGGGAGCGGGAGCCGCGCGCGGAGCGGGACGGGGCGCAGCGACAAGAGCCACGGTCCCACATGCAGCCCCTGCCAGGTCGAGGGCTCTGCCCTCTCCTGAGCTCTTCCCACATTGTCCCCGTCCTGCTCAGCCGGACTCGTGACACTGATCAACCCTGATGCAGATTTTCCCATTGCAGGCGAGCCGGGGAGATCTCCATGCACGTTACTCAGAGCCTGTTTTTCAGCAGTTTCTTGTCTGCTAGGATGTGGCTTTTCTTCTTTTTTTTTTTTTTTTTCCTGGAAACAGATGATATCTGAGAGTCAGGTTCCTTGGGCTGAGCTTTGAGAAACTGGAATTTGTTCCAGAAAGGTCATTTTACAGCGTCCTCTTGAGATGTCCCAAAGGCTGCAGCGAGGAGGGGAAGCCCAAGGCAGACCACGTTGTGGCATCAGCCCTGAGTGCCCATGTGAGCTGTCCTTGCAGAGAGGCTGCCAACCCAAGCGCCCATTAAAAGATTAAAAAGCCTCTTTCTGGGCTTGGATTGAGCATTACCTATATTAAATGGAGCTGAGCGCTGTGGGTGCATCTGAAGGGCACTGCCTTCTCTGCTAAGCCTTTGCCTCTCCAGAACAAGAATTGCAGGTGGGTGCACGGCCTTCTCGGGGATCCTGGCAGGGCGCTTTGTGCAGGTGACTCTGCTCCCTGGCTCCCATGTAGAAACCAGAGAGCAGAGGTGACAGGAGAAATCTGTGGGCTGTTGCATATTGTAGGCTCAGGTCTGCACTGTCCCCTCAAGGCCTTGCCCTAAGCAAGGAGCATTTGCTGGTCGAGTTTCTATCTGCCAAATACAGGGAGTTTTTGCTTTTTGCAGGGGGATCTTTCAGTTAAATCTTTTTCTTTTTTTCCTTTTTGTGAAATGTTCAGAGACCCTGTTTGTACCTCGCTGTTGTTTGTGAAGGCAACGCTGTGGCTGGTCTGGTGTGTTCTCCACTGAAATTTCATTAAAACCAGATTAACTACCTGACAGATTTTGCAAGTTGTGACCCTTTCACCAAGGAAACGCCAGTTCTGCGGTTGCTGTTACTGGCACAAAGCAAAAATAGAGTTTCAGTGCTGAGTTAGGCCTCTCCTCTTAATGGCAGTGAGCTGGATCTGGTTCTGATCATGCTATTTATGATATCGTGGTTAATGAGTTGCTGGCTGCTCCCGTGCCTTGCTTTGTGTAAGGGGATTATAGAGCCATTGCTTGTGGCACGGGCCAGGGAGAGGCAGGGTCAGATAAGGGCACATGCAGGGGGAGAGAAAAGCATTTTTTTTTCCCTGAAAATCCCCATTTCTGCTGGGAAGAAAGTGGGATTTTAGTTATTGGGGTTTTTTTCTGTCGGTTTGTTTTTCTGTCATCCCAAATGAATTGCATAAAGGCAAATAGAGCAACAAACTGTAGAAACCCAGATGCTGCAACTACGTGCCTGTTTGCAGTCGGCTGCAGCCTAGGCATCTTTCCAGTGGCTTTGTAGCTGCTGTCTATAATATTGACATCACGGCAGGGACTGAAGCAGAAATTCTAGCATGAGAGGAAGCAAAAGATGAGGTATCTGTTTAAAGCGAAGTGACTCATGCATTAACTTTCCAGCTCTGGAGACCTGGATTCAAAGTGACCTGGGGTTTTTAAAGTGCCTTGAGTTTGGGAGCCGGCCCTGCGGGAGGTTGATGCTCCCTGGACCCGACAGCCAGCAGGGCACTCCGAATGGAGAATCACGAAGAGAGAGCAAATTGTGGTGACTCTCCAGGGGCAGTAACTATTTGCATAGCTGTAAATGACTTGGATCTCCTAATGCAATTGGCTCCCTCCTCCTCCTCCCTCCGCAGCCCCGGCCGAACGAGCGGCACGTTCGATAACGAGGTTGTGATGATGAACCATGTCTACAAGGAGCGTTTCCCCAAGGTAACTGCCTGGCCGGGTGAGGACAACTCACGCTCGTGCCTCCAATGTATTTTGACAGCTTCATCTCCAGAAAAATCACTTCTCTGTGCTGGAAGATAAAACGTACAGATACTGAGGGGTGTCGCAGGGCACTGGAGACTCAGGAGCTAACTGGGGAGACAGGGACATAAGGCTCTGCAGCATCGTAGAGCCACGTTGCCCTGCAAGCAACGGTCCCTAAAGATTGTGAGGGGCTTCTTGGTGGATGCCCTGTTCCAGATGGGCCTGTGCAACCCATGGTGGGCACACACATAGAAGAGCTGGTAGTTCCAGACCAGCAGTGCTGTCGGCCAAACCCTGACTGTGGTTTTGGGTGTGTGTTCCCAGGCATCACTGTCTGTTCTGCCCTGCAGGCCACGGCCCAGATGGAGGAGCGTCTGCAGGACACTATTAGGAACTTCTCCCCCAGCAGCATCCTGCCGCTGGCAGATGGGGTGCTGGGCTTCATTCACCACCAGATCATCGAGCTGGCCCGTGACTGCCTGGCGAAGTCCCAGGGGGCTCTCATCACCTCCCGCTACTTCATGGAGCTGCAGGAGAAACTCGAGAAGATGCTCAGAGACGTGAGTGTGGGGCAGGCCCTGCCCCGTCCCGTCTCCTGGGGGCAATTTGGTGATGACTCTGGTTTCTGCCTCCCCTCTGGCAGGCTCAGGAGCGTTCCGAGAGCGAGGAAGTGAAGTTTATTGACCAGCTAGTGAGGAAGCTGCTGATAATAATCTCCCGGCCTGCCCGTCTTCTGGAGTGCCTGGTAAGAGGCAGTGTCTCCCGCGCGGTTCATGCACCTGTGTGCTCAGAGCCGCCAGCATCCACATCCCGTGGGGGATTGCTCATTCACAGCACTAGAGCCATTTCTTGGAGAGGAGAGACTGGATTTTCCCAGTGGAGGGTGGAGATAGGAACATATTCACTGTTTTTCTCATCTGATTTAAATCTGTTACACTGAATTTCTATGGTTGCAGATTTGATAGAGCTCTCTGTGGGGCCCAACTCATTTTCCAGCATTTCCAGCATTTTCTAGAGCTGGAAGGTGCCAAGCATCCTACCAGTGTGGTCTCTGTAAGGGCTTCTCTCCTAGGCCAGGTCTTAGGGCTGCATTTTTTTATCTATTCTTCGAGCTCAGAGGCCTGATGCTAGAAAAAGGAGCAAGGTATTGAGCTTTCTCCTGCAAGCATCCCGAGCCTGTGCCCCAATTAAAAGTGGCCATCAATGGGGCTGAGAACAGATTTAATTGTACGAAGTGAAGGCAGGCTTGTTCCTTGACTTTCCTTGTTTCCCCGCCTTGCGTAGGAGTTTGATCCTGAGGAATTCTATCATCTCCTGGAAGCTGCAGAGGGGCATGCTAAAGTCGGCCAGGGAATAAAGACGGACATTCCCCGATACATCATCAGCCAGCTGGGACTAGTCAAGGACCCGCTGGAAGGTAGGGAAGCTCTTGGACTTGTTGCTGAGCTGAGGGCCTGGAGAAAGGTCTCCAGTAGGACGTGGATTCCCAAGCTGCTGCTGAGCTGGGCTCCTTCTTTGGGCTCCCTCCTCCTCTCCAGTTTGTTCCTCCTCCTCCAAGGGGAGACCAAAAGGTCTGTCAGCCTGTGACTGATTCCCTGCCAAGGGATTATACCTGAGCAATATGTGATATTCCTATAAATCCTGGGGGCCAAGGCTGAAGTGACCCCCAGGCTGCAGGCGTGTGCTGGATGCTCTGGGCTGCAGGTCCAGGATGGAGTCCAAGTCTCCATGCCAGCCCAGCATTTCTCATTATTGCTTCCTACATGTTCAGCAAAGTAGATTAATCTCAAGAACACTTAATCCATAGGAAGCCAAGGCCTTGGGGGAACTGTAATCCTTGAAGAACACGGCAATGACTATGGAAAAAGAGAATTATATAAATGTTTAACCTCTTAACACTGTGACCTGATTTTCTCCATACAATAGCTCAAACAAATCCCCATGGATAACTAAATCCCCGTGGAGATCTTAGAGATTGGGGGGAAAGTGCTTGTTGGGAAATTATCTTTGTGGGAGCTGAGCATGAAGAAAAAGGTAATAACTGTCTTCTACAGAAATGGTGCAGCTGGATCACTTTGACAGCGGGAACACCATCACACCGGAGAACGATGATGCCTGCGAGGTGAGCGCTGGACTGTTGTCATTTCCCCTCCTGCTTCCTCTTGCTTTGCCCTGTGTCATTTCAGCCTATAACTCTTTGCACTCTGTGTACGGAGCAGCTCATGTGTTGTCTTAGTCTGGAAGAGTAGAATTAGGACCATCCCTTCCCTAAGCAAGTGACTAACGTGGGGGTGTTGGGGTGTTTTTGTTGGCAATATTCCCCAGCCACCGCTCTGCTCTCTTGGCTGCTGCCGTGCTGTGTAGAATGGCCTCATTGGAGGCAAGTTTGGCTTTGGCCGTGGTCTGCACACCTGGAGCACTGCGTGCAGTTCTAGGCTCCCCAGTATGAGAGAGACATGGAACTTCTAGAGAGGGTCCAGTGAAGGGCAACAAAGATGATGAAGGGACTGGAACATCTCTCGTACAAGGAGAGACTGAGTTGGGCCTGTTTTCTCTGGAGAAGGCTGAGAGGGGATCTGATTAACATATATAAGTTTATGAAGGGGGAATGTAGGGAGGAAAGGGCCAAACTCTTCCCAGTGGTGGCCAGTGCCAGGACAAGGGGCAATGGGTGTAAGCTGAACCCCAGGCAGCCCCATCTCCACGTGAGGAGGAACTTCTGCAGTGTGAGGGTGCCCGAGCCCTGGCCCAGGCTGCCCAGGGAGGCTGCGGAGCCTCCTGCTCTGGAGGTCTCCCAAACCCACCTGGATGCGCCCGGGTGCCCCCTGCTCTGGGTGTCCCTGCTGGAGCAGGGGTTGGACTGGATGATCCCTAGAGGTCCCTTCCAACCTCAACCATTCCGTGATTGTATGTTCTGGTTGGAGCCTCAGGGACACGGGGCCTCAGGGACAGTCCCGTTAGAGATTGTGTCTGTTGGTGATGGGCACAACGTGATGAATCCTGCGGGCAGTCTGTACAGCATCCCCAGGCAAGGAGACAGTAAAGCCCTTGTGTGTCTCGTTCAGAGCCAGCCTTCAGCCCCGGCTCCGCGGAGGAAACCCTGCGAGGGGGATTTCGAGACCATCAAGCTCATCAGCAACGGGGCCTACGGGTGAGTGAGGAAGGGCCATGTCCCAGTACCTGGGCACAAATACCCAGGGGAGAACTTCTCAGTTCTCAGCAGTACCAGCTCCTCTGAAACATGGCCAGCTGTCCTATGTCCTGCGTGTCCCATGTCGTTGGTCCTGGACGTTGGAGGACACGTTCTGAGGCCCAGGTGTTTTTGCTGTCCCCAAGGGCCGTGTACCTGGTGAGGCACAGAGAGACGCGGCAACGATTTGCCTTGAAGAAAATTAACAAGCAGAACCTCATCCTAAGGAACCAGATCCAGCAGGTGTTTGTGGAGAGGGACATCCTGACCTTTGCAGAGAACCCTTTTGTGGTCAGCATGTTCTGCTCCTTCGAGACGAAGCGGCACCTCTGCATGGTCATGGAGTACGTGGAAGGTGAGGACAGGGCTTGAGGCTGGATAGTGGGGCAGGGAGGGGGAAAGGCAACACGGGCCAATCTTCTGATATAGATGTCAGTGCAGAGACCATTCATGGTGTCAGAGCAAAGGGAATCACACAGGTTCTCCTATTTCTCTCACCTTGATGAAGGTGGGAGAGGTGCTGCTCACTTAGGAGAGGATTTCTGGCAAGCACCCATGGGTGGCAGCTGCCCTGAGGTGGGGTATGAAGGTCTCTTGATGCTGGGAGCCCTGCCAGCTTGTGGGGCCGTTGGTGTAACCCTGCCCAGGGACTTTCCTGCCTTTTCTGAGCCGCACGTGCTCAGGAGGACCTGTGTTCCTGCAGGGGGGGACTGTGCCACGCTGCTGAAGAACATGGGCCCGCTGCCAGTGGACATGGCAAAGATGTACTTCGCGGAGACGGTGCTTGCCCTGGAATATCTGCACAACTATGGCATCGTGCACAGGGACCTCAAACCTGACAAGTGAGGACGTGGGTCAGGCCTGAGCACGGGCTGGGCTGGGGCTCAGTGGAGAAGGAGAAGACTCCTGCCATCCTCTGTGGAGACGGACTGATCCCAGCCACTAACCAAAGAGCAAAACCCTTCCATATGATGCCCCAGTTCTGTTTCTCAGCCTCCATGCAGAAGGGAGAATTGGGGAGCTAAAGGGGAATGAAGTTGGGTTTCGGGAAGTGATTGCTGATGTCAAAAGATCTGGTTTCCATATCCTTCCTTCTTCTGTGCTGTTGCATGCGGCTGGGTTGGGGTGCGGGGAGGTCCTGCTCAGGACCAGCTGCAGCTCTGTGTGTCTGTCCTCCCTTGCAGTTTGCTGATCACCTCCATGGGCCACATAAAACTGACGGATTTTGGTCTGTCAAAGATTGGCCTGATGAATATGACCACGAACCTGTATGAAGGGCACATAGAGAAGGACACTCGGGAGTTCATGGACAAGCAGGTACTTCCAGGATGCCTGGGAGCTCACAGCTTTAGGGCAAAAGATTCAGGCTGCCTGGGACATGTGGCAAAGACCCTGAGCCTGTTGCAAAGGCCCTGGTTTCCTGCACAGGACGCAGAGGCACCGACAACGCTGCTTGTTCCCATGCAGGTGTGTGGCACTCCGGAGTACATCGCGCCAGAAGTCATCCTCATCCAGGGCTATGGGAAGCCTGTTGACTGGTGGGCGATGGGCATCATCCTGTACGAGTTCCTGGTGGGCTGCGTCCCCTTCTTTGGAGACACTCCTGAGGAGCTCTTCGGGCAGGTGATCAGCGGTGAGTGTCGGTAGCTGCTGCACAGCCAGTTTGGCTGCTTCAGTTGCCCTTTCTGCCTGGCTCTTCCTTTACATGCTCTGTGTTTTGTTGCTTGGTTTTGTACCCACGAAAGTTTTATCCTCTTCCTCGCACTCTTAATTCGACTCTTATTTCAGCCACTTTGTGTGAGAGAGTTGAAAGTCCCTCAAGGTTTTGGAGCCTGGATTTGCTGATTTGGGAGGATGACTTTATTTTGCTCATGTTGCTGGTGGATTTTCCTCTTGCCTGCAAGTCACTCCTCCTGTGAACTTGCCTTGTCATGAGGCCCAGCCTGATGCCAAGTCTCCCTTCCAGCCCCAGCCTGCGGCCCTGTGACTACACTGCACTCTGACCCAACTGTACTGGCTCCATCTGTTGCTATGAGCAGAGGAAGGACTCGAGCCTTGTTTTCCCTTTTGTTTCAGATGAAATCATCTGGCCTGAAGGAGATGAGGCTCTTCCTGCTGACGCTCAGGACTTGATCACACGATTGCTGCGGCAGTGCCCGCTCGAGCGCCTGGGCACCGGTACGCGCGTCCCGAGCGCCACGCCGGGCAGGGCTGTGGTGCTGGGCATGCGTGGGGCCATCCCCGAGGTGGCTGCGTGACTCTGCGCTGAGCAGGGTTTGCGAGGTGCTCGGCACCCGACTTATTCATGTCAAAGCATTTGCTTTTGTGTTGCAGCAACCAAAGTAAGTCCTGCTGGTTTAGGGTTATTGGATGCTTTCTGGCCAGGGTTTGCTCTGGGAAGCCAGAGGCTAGTGCAGGTTTCAGATGCATCCTGTCTTAGGCCGTCTGCCATGTGGGGCAGAGGGGCTGGATGAGTTGTTTCCTTGCCTTTTCCTTGCCTTTCCTTTTCGGGCTGAGAGCAGGAGCCAGCGATTTGGGCTCTGCATCGTCCTTCCTAACACGTTTCCTCTGCGTGCCAGGCGGTGCCCACGAGGTGAAGCACCATTCCTTCTTCCTGCACCTGGACTGGAACGGGCTGCTCCGGCAGAAGGCAGAATTCATCCCCCAGCTCGAGTCAGAGGATGACACCAGCTACTTTGACAGTGAGGCCAAATCCATTCCTTTCCCTCCCTGTGAATCCTTTATTCCAGCTGCATACCAGATGCTCTGACAGGAGACAAACATCTCCTGGATAAAGTCAGTCATTTCACAACCTGGGTTAGGTTGCAGAACAGATTTACTTACTTCTGTTTCCAGATCTCTCAGCCAGCATTTCTGTGCTCCTTGCTTTCAGCCCGCTCCGAGAGGTACCGCCACTTGGATTCAGAGGATGAAGAAACCAACGATGAGGAGTCGTCTGTTGAGATTGGCCAGTTCTCTTCCTGCTCCCATCGCTTCAGCAAGGTATTGGAACCTAACCTCTGTGATGTAAAGACAGGCTGGGGAGGTGATGCACACATTGCTGTCCTGGCTGGCTGTCCCCTGGAAGCAGGAGGAATCCTGCAGCGCTGTCTACTGCTGCTCCCAGGTTTCTGCTGCTGCTCCCAGGTTTCTGCTGCTTTCAAATGACTGGTCTTTCCCTCAGGTTTACAGCAGCTCCGAATACCTGGCCACTCACTCCAACCTCAGCCTCTCCTCCTCGGAACGGAGTCACAGTGAGGAGAAAGAGGACAGGACAGAGCGATGGGACAGGAGCTCGGGAGATGAGGACAAGAGCCGCCCCTTGGTCCCGGAGACCCGGTGAGTGAGGAGCTGGGGAGGGTGCAGTTTGAATGAGGTCTTTGAATGGAGATGGTAACATTGCCATGAGGTTCACGGTGGAACACGTCCAAGCACGTGGCAGTGAATCATTATCAGCTGCCTCACTTGCCCGTCGGAGTCCTGAGCCCTCTTTCTCTTGCTGAGCAGGCTGCGCTCATGGACGTCCTGCAGCTCCACGCCGTACACCTCTCAGCACGAGCGCAGCCGCAGCCCCGCCGCCCTGACCAGCACCTACAGCCTGGACACCATGCCCAAGTTCGCCTTCTCCTCAGAAGATGAAAGCCCCTGCCTGGCTCCTTCCAAGGTGGAGAGACCCACGTTTGTGCTGGGAGATCCCGACGCAGGGGGCCCAGTGAAGTCTTCGGCGTTATCTGGTGCGTAGGCTGCGGATGCTGGCTGTTGTGGAGGCATGGGGCTGCTTTCCCAAAGGGCACAAGCTCTTCTGCACAGTCCTGTCCCTAGAGGGACGTCACTTGTCCCGTGTGTTTCTCAGCCATTTCACTTCTCGTTCCTTCTGTCCTCTGTACAGCTGATCTTGTCAGCCTGAACCGCATCCGCCTCCGGAGCAACAGCACCGGCACCAAGAATTCCACTCCCCGGGGCTTGGAGCCAGGTAGCAGCCGCCGCCTGAACAGCCACAAGGACGTGTCGGACAAGCAGAGAGTCTCACCGGGCAGCCGAGTGCCCAAGTCTGCCTCTGTCTCAGCCCTGTCCCTCATCATCACCTCAGGTTTGTGGGTCGCTGTGTTGGTTCAGCAGCTGCTGCTGGGGTAGCTGCTGTGGGGCTGTCCCTGGGCACAAGGCGGGTGCTGCAGTTGCCAGAGAGGGTTTGGTGCCCTTGCTGTGGGGCTCAGCACAACGCTGCATGCTGTGTAATGGAGTGGGTTTCCTGCAGCTCTGATGCTGAGGCTCCTTCCCTTGTTGCAGACGACTTGAGCAGCGGGGCCCTCATGAGCCCCATCTCCCCCCACTCGCTCTCTTCTAACCCATCGTCCCGTGACTCGTCGCCAAGCCGAGACTCCTCCCTGGCCATCACCAGCCTGCGGCCCCCCATCCTCATCCACAGCTCGGGCAAGAAGTACGGCTTCACGCTGCGCGCCATCCGCGTGTACATGGGCGACAGCGACGTGTACGCCGTGCACCACATGGTGTGGGTGAGTGACACGGCAGCTTTGCACCGAGGGGCACCGGTCACGGGCGTCCGCGCCGAGGCACCGTGCAGATGGATGGAGCCTGCGTCTTAACCAAGTCCCCACACTTCAATTTTCAGAGCGTGGAAGATGGGAGCCCGGCCCAGGAAGCGGGGCTGAGAGCGGGGGATCTCATCACGCATGTGAACGGGGAGTCTGTGCTGGGCTTAGTGCACAGGGACGTGGTGGAGCTGCTGCTCAAGGTGGGTCAGGCCCGTCAAGTCTTTCTGCAGCAACAATTGATGGCCATAGAAAGAGTGGGAATGGAGGGCTTGGGAGCGGAGGCTCTTCCCTGCAGAGGATGCTCCCAACAGCCACCTCTGGGCTGCTGCGGAGCTGCCCGGGCATCCTGGGCTAGCGTCTCCTCCAAGCCTCTTCTTCCAACCCCGCTGTAGCAAGAAGGCAGTTGTCACCCTGCCTGTCTCCTGGCCTAAACTGAGGCACTCAGAGCTGTAGCCCTGAGGTGTTTGGGGCTCTTGGCTTCCTGTAAATGCCCTCGGAGCTGCCTTGCAGCCGCGCTCACTGCGTCGTCGCCTCCGCTGACAGCGAGGTGGGAGGTACAGGCTCGTGTTTTGGGTTAAAGCTTGGCCTTTGGGTCCAGCGTGTTGCAGTGACCCGCATTCTTCCTCTCAGAGCGGCAATAAAGTAGCCCTGCGAACCACCGCCCTGGAGAACACGTCCATCAAAATCGGCCCTGCTCGGAAAAACAGCTCCAAGACCAGGATGGCACGAAGGAGTAAGAAGAGCAGGAAAAGGGACAACCAGGACAGGTGAGTGGAACCAAACTGAGATACAGTGGTGTTTATCCTGGGTGGCTTGGAGCTGAAATGCCACTTGGAACTGGGATGGGGCGAGCGCAGCTGCCTCCTTGAGTGCCATCCCTCTGGTTCCTTGCTGTGAGCTGGGTGCTCTGGCTCTTGGATACCTTGGAGCCTGGAGGTGGGAGGTTGCAGCCTGCTCACGGATAGTCCCAACAGCATTGGCTGTGCAGGGCTGCAGGTTTGCTGGCTTTAAGGAGAGGCTGAGGCTGCTTGGGGCTTTAGGAGCAGCTCGTGCTTGGGCCTGACCAACCTGCCCATGGACGCCCTTCCCACGGTCTTTGCTTTCTCCCAAGGAGGAAATCCCTTTTCAAGAAGATCTCCAAGCAGTCGACAGTCCTGCACACCAGCCGCAGCTTCTCCTCCGGCCTCCACCACTCGCTGTCGTCAAGCGAGAGCCTCCCGGAGTCACCCACGCACAGCCTGTCCCCCGGCCCCACGACGCCGTGCCGCAGCCCCGCGCCAGACCAGCCCCAAGGTGTGTCCCCCGCGTCACTGTCCCAGCCAGGGGACAAGGGCTGGGGGCCCTTGTCTGCAAGGTCCCGGCTGCAGCTTTGCTCCTGCGGCATGAGTGAGGAGTTTGGGGCACCCCATGTCATGGGGGGGCCTCCCTCACCACGCGCCTTCTCTCTTTGTGTGGCAGATGCAGCGTCCCCGCAGAGCACCTCTCCCTCCTCCAGCACCCCCAGCTCTCCGGCCGGCCACGTGCGCCCCAGCTCCCTGCACGGGCTGGCGCCCAAGCTCGGCGGGCAGCGCTACAAGGTGGGACGCCGCAAGTCCACCAGCAGCATCCCCCCCTCGCCCCTCGCCTGCACCCCCTCGCCCGCCCAGCGGCCGCCTTCCCCGCAGCGATCTCCGTCGCCGCTGCCCGGGTACCCCAAAAACATCCATTCCTTCCAGGGCAAGACTCTGTCCCCCCCCACCATCGTCAGGCACGGCTCTCGGCCGCGCAGCGCCGAGTGCCCCAGGTCCCCTCTGCTAAAGCGAGTGCAGTCGGCGGAGAAGATGGCAACCTACCTGGCGGAGAAGAAGAGCATGGGCGGCCGCAAGCTGGGACTGGAGCTGCCTCCGGCGGACAGGACAGGAGAGGCTTGGGGAGAGAGCGAGGTGCCCGCACCGGCGTTTGCTGGCGAGCACGGCTACGTGGGGGCGTCCCGCATGCGCGAGTGGCTGGGGGACAGGCACGACCAAGAGGTGGTTGTCATGAGGAGGCTGAACCTCTCGGAGCGCCGGGACTCCTTCAAGAAGCAGGAGGCGGTTCAAGAAGTGAGTTTTGACGAGCCCGAGCTGGTGTCGGTAAGCAAAGAGGGCGCCGAGGTCGAGGCCAGGCCGGAGGAGCCGCAGCGCCGGAGCCTCCACACAGCCTCCTGGGCCGAGGCCGGGCCGAGCTCATCCCGCTGGAGCAAGCGGGATCCCACAGCAGAGCCCAAGCCTGTGCCGCAGATCGCGGTGCAGGGATCGGAGAGCGACGAGCAGGAGCTCGGCGCGGCCGAGTGGGAATGCCAGGGCTCCTACCCCCTCCAGCTGCTGGGCAGGCTCCACACGGAGCCCACGGACGGCGCCGTGGAGCGCGGGAGCGCCCGGCGGGAGCCCTCGCGCCGGACGTGCGGGGAGGCAACGGCCGGGCTGCCGCTGCGGGGCGCCCGGGAGCCCGCGGCC